ATCGCGGGTTTGAGTTATAAGCAGAGGCTGGATAGGCTGGTACTTATTTTCACCGCAGCGTGAAAGGTTGAGGGGTGACCTTATAGAGGTTTATAAGATCATGAGGGGTATAGATAAGGTGAATGGCAGGTGTCTTTTCCCTAGGGTGTGGGGTTTCAAGACTAGAGGGCATATTTTTAAGGTGAGAGGAGAAAGATTTAAAGAAGACATGAGGGCAACTTTTTTTTACACAGAGAGTGGTTTGTGTGTGGAATGAACCTCCAGAGGAAGTGGTGGATGCGGGTACAGTTACAGTGTTTAAAAGTCATTTGGATAAGTACATGAATAGGAAATATTTGGAAGGATATGGGCCAATTGCAGGCAAGTGGGACTAGTTTAGTTTGGGAAACTTGGTCAGCATGGACGAATTGGACTGAAGGGTCTGTTTCCGTGCTCTATGACTATGAATGCCGTCCTCCAACATCATACAACGTATTTACAGACTCAAGTAAACACAAAGATAAACACATCAAATCACACCCACACTCTCTGGAGGAATCATTAGATATTTATCCAGACTTAGAGCCCAAACTGGTTTTCTTTGTTCCCACCTAACCTAGCTACAGCACTTCCAACCCCAGCCACAGGCTACTGTAGCAAAGTGATATCAAATCCTGCACTTTATGATCTATAAGTCAAACCATCACAGATCCTCTTCCACTACTGATTGAAGGGAAGCATTTAGAGGAGCTTTAGTTAGCTATCTCACCCATCTGACAAATTCATCAACAATAATTTAGATTTATATAACCCCTTTAACATCCCAGGAGTGTAAACAGATACCACTCCAAAGCATGAGACATTACCCTGTGGCCAAAAGCTTGGTCCAAGAGGTAAGTTTGAAGAAGTATTACAAAGGAGGAGAGAGAAGTTGAGATACAGAGAAGTATATGGAAGGAATTCCTGAGTTTAATGCCAAGTTGATTATACGCAGAGTCAATGGTGAGGTGAAGCAACTGGGGGATACAAACAATTGATGTACTGGGGAAATGTCAAGAGCTCAGAGAGCTGCAGAATTATATGATGTTACAGAGACAGGCAGGGGATGAGGCCATTGAAGGATTTTAAAACGAGGCCAAAAATGGTGATATTGAGATGTTATCATACCAGGTAGGTGGGCAAACACAGGGATGACGGGTGAATGGGACATGGTGCAAACTGAATGTGGTCAACAGAGAGTTCAATGAGTTCAGAATTGTGGAGGATGGTCTGAATAATGATACAATATTTCGCAATGACCTTCTCCCTGGGCTAGTTCACAAGATAGTACGTGATTCTCAGGAAATCATTACAAGCTAAAGACTGGTCTGTGGTGCACATACACTTCCAAGCTTTGAAATTTTTTCCACTTCTTCAACAGACTCCATCAGACAAGACTGTCAAAGTTATTCTAACGCATCCAATTCACAATATGCTTGAAACTGGTGAACTTTTACTCAGACTTGTTAACATGTAAGCATCAAAGTCACTGACAACTTGAATGGGACTAAGATTGTATCAGAGATAGTAGGAACTGCAGATGCTGGAGAATCTGAGACAACAAGGTGTAGAGCTGGATGAACACAGCAGGCCAAGCAGCATCATAGGAGCAGGGGTCTAGGCCCGAAACGTCAGCCTTCCTGCTCCTATGATGCTGCTTGGCCTGCTGTGTTCGTCCAGCTCTACACCTTGTTATCTCTTGAATGGGACTAATTCTGTTTTCATTTCATGGGCTCCCGGGATTTATACAAGTGTTTCGGAGATTGTAGTCAATGGGGGCATCTGTTTCTCTACAGATGGAGAAAAATAGTGGCTTTGACAAAAGAAGTTTTATTCTTTATAATCCAATTCCGAGTTTGCAGGGGTAAATAAGCAAAATCCCACTTTCATTACATTGCATTCCTGGACTTCTGCCAACATTTTCGGAATTGAATTCAATCTCTTGCTTCAAGGGGAATCAGGTGTCCATAGGATACTGAGACATTAATTAATCAGCTTACTGTGATACAGGGAAAACAGACTGACATTTGTGTAGGAAGTGTTATACAAACAAAGGCAGAAACCGGGCATGGGGCCATAAGGAATAAAGGGCACCTAACCTTTTTTTTCCTTAATTCATTCATGTGACATGGACATTGCTGGCTGGGCCCAGCATTTACTGCCTAATTGGCCAGAGGGCAGTTTAAGAGTCAACCACACTGCTGTAGGCCTGGAGTCACGTGTAGCCCTGACCAAGTAAAGATGGCAGATTTCTTTCCCGAAAGAACATCAATCAGATGGGTACTTACGACAATTGACAAATATTGCGTGGTCACCATTAGGCAAACTTTTGTTTCATATTTTTTTTTAATTGGATTTCAAATTTCACCATCTCCACTGGCCTGAAATTATGGATTACTAATCTAGTGACAATGCCACTACACCACCATCTCTCCAATTATATGTGCATTGGTATATGTGTTAAAACATCACCACTGGTTAAGTCCATGGTACATGTATAGATGTATAAACATCATTCAGTTCTGCATCGTTGTGGTGTTCTGCTGTGTGTAGATTTATGTCCAGTTGCATCTGTCAAAGCTCAATGCACCATTTATTTTTGAAATAACACAGGCGATCACCCCACCGTGTTGGAAAATGCTGCAATTAACAATAAATGAGAAAAATCCACTTTCTCCCCATGTTCATAAACATTTGAAGAGTTATTTCAGTAGCTTGTTCCAATGCACCACGCCCTGCTCCCCATCCAAACACCCCTCTCAAACCTCTCACAGCAAACGTTTTATTTCTGCTTCTGTTTTTAATCCTATCTTTTGTATACTAAGATGATGCCGGAGAATAGCAACTTTGTACACTTTTCACTGTACTCCTGTATTCCTTTACTTGAGTACACGTGACAACAAAATCTAAATCTAACTAATAAGAATTCTTGACCACCAATACACAACTGCCACAGATTGTCGATGAGATCCATTATTTGAACATCACTCCCCAACTCCCTAAGGGGAGGTGATGGCCTAGTGGTATTATCGGCGGGCTGTCGATCCAGAGACCCAGATAATGTTCTGGGGACCCAGGTTCAAATCCCGCCATGGCAGATAGTGGAATTTGAATTCAATAAATGTCTAGAATTAAGAGTCTAATGATGACCATGAATCCAGTGTCAATTGTTGGGGAAAAACCCATCTGGTTCACCAATGTCCTTTAGGGAAGGAAACTACCATCCTTACCTGGTCTGGCCTACATGTGACTCCAGACCCACAGCAATGTGGTTGACTCTTAACTGCCCTCTGGGCAATTAGGGATGGGCAATGAATGCTGCCTAGCCAGCAATGTATTTGCCTCACAAATGAATTAAAAACTCCATACCCCACCAAACATGATGGAGAGGTTATGGTTTTTAAAAACTCTCATGGTATTAACAAATCTGATTTTTTTCTTTATCTTCTCTATTTTTTGTACCTAAGATGGCACCTTGTGTTGGTAGCATTGAGCACTTCTCACTGTACTCCTGTTCTTTTGTAACTTGAGTACACGCGACAATAAACCTAATTCTAATTCTAAATGAGGGATCTTGCGGTCCAAAGGAATCCACAATTAGAAACAAACTGAAGACTTCTTTTCTTCAGTTCTTGATGTCTCTGAAAACAAACCAGGCTGCTCGAGCCCCCTCCCTAGTCTGCTGTCTTATACAGACAATCGAAAAGAAAAAGGTTCAACTGAAGACTGTTTCACTTCCATCCATTTTATATATTCCTTAAATAGCATTTCTCTAAATTATTAACGCTGCCATTGGGGAGAAAAACCCTGCAGTGCGCCAGCTGCACAGAGGCGAAACATCAAGGCAAACTTGAAAATGCATTTTTGCCAGCATTCGTTCGACTCAAGCCATGAGGGGCTTTACTCCTTCATTTCTGCTCCATTCAGTGTTCAGTCACAGAACAATTCCAAGTGATAAACTTAGTTCCAGCTCACACATTGGTTTCACCTGGTAATTTGGACCCTATTGGTATATTCTACATAAATATTTAAACAAACTGTGGGTTTGTTCTTTAGCACCAGTGAAAGTGACAATCAATTTAAAGTAGCTGTCTATTTTTACACCGCAGCAATGAATGAATGAAAGAATAGCACGCTTCAGCTCAACTGGGCAAGAATGTCAAATCAAATCAAGCTTGCCACTGCATTACGATAAAAAGAAACAATAAACGTCAATATATAGACTAAACAGAATTGACCTCCTTCTTTGATCATCTCAACGCTCACTGTTTTGAGAACCGAACATACTTAAAAAAAAACGCTGGGTCAGAATTTCTCTAAAATGCAGTTCCTGACTGCAACACTACTTCAATAAAATCTCAAATTATTAATCAGTGCAATAAAATTTTTGAAAATGAAAAAAAAACTTATTTTTCTGTTCAAAGAAAGAGATAATGATTCCTTTAGAGGCATTGCAGCCTTTCCAAAGGATGGCTTAATTTACCCACCAGGAACTGTAAGATAAAGGAACACAAAAGCATTACTTCAGATGGAAAAATACTTATGCCACACAGAATGAAAGGAAAGACTTGCATACATAAAGTGTGTTTCAATACCACAGGGCATTCCTAAGCCAATGAAGTAGTTTCGACTTACAGTCATTGTTGTACTGCACATTTGCCTACATTACTGTTAGGCTTTCTATTTCTTCATTCTCTTAATTTTTTTTCCCTAACAGTTTGTTCTGAAGAATCTGTACTTAGGTACCTACCTAAGATGGCACCCTGTTATGGTAACTTGTAAACTTTTCACTGTACTCATTTGAGTACGTGACAATAAAGCTAATTCATTACATTGGTAGGCATTTGTGTGCAGTGTCTATTCCTCTAACTCTGGCTACCCACACATCACAGTGGCAGCAACAGCCATCTGCTGGTCCTGGTGAACTGACCAATCCTCTCCCCCACCACCCCCTCCCACCTTTAGCCATCGCCCAAACTCACCCCGGAAGAAAGTTTTGGATCGCATGTAGCTGACACTGAGACGGAGGATGGAGAGTTTATCCAAGCTCGAGGTCACATCTTCGGTGAAAGGTAGCAGACTGGCCAGGCGATCCAGTTCACAGTTTAGCCTGTCACGGTGCCTCTTGGAAGGATTGGATTTGATTCCATCGGCCAATGCCGGTTTCACTCTGACAATAAGCAGAATACCGCAGATCAATGTGCCAGTGTTACACAGGCTGACGGCCACCTCTGTACAAGTGTCTGAGGTCCATATTATTACAGGATAGTCAAATACCATCTCATGGGTTTGCATCAACTCCCCACATGCCAGTTTGCACCAAACCCCTTTCCACAATTTGCATTAAATGCACTCTCACTGTTTCCATTAATTCCAAAGTCCCAGCTTTCACTAACCTTCAATCTCACAATTCGAATGAACTCCAATGTAACTGTTTCAATTAATTCCAAGATCAGTTTTCATTGGGTCAATGTTATAGTTCATATTGGTCAGGGACACTCACAATGCTATTCTGAAACAAGTCCCAGTATCTTTGCACCATGACAGTAAAGAAATGGAGATATAGTGTCAAACTAAGGATAGTGTGCAGTTTGGAAGGTAATTTGCTGTCCTTATCCATCTAGATGGTACTTACATGTGGTGAATTTGGAGGGTGATATCAAAGGACCCTTTGTGAGTCACTACAGTGCATGTTGTATACACAGCTGCCATTGTACATTGGGGATGGAGGAGTGAACACTGATGGTGGTAGAATGATGCCAATCAAGCGGGCTGCTTTACCCTGGATGGTGTCAAGCTTCTTGGGTCTTGTTGGAGCTTCACCCATCCAGGCAAGTGGGGAATATTCCATCACACTCCTGACTTGTACCTTGTACATGGTGGACAGCTTTGGGGAGTCAGGAGGTGAGTTAATCAATGCATTATTCCCAGTTTGTATTATAACCCCACTGACCTAGTGTGTATTATAACCCCAGTGTCCTGGTTTACATTAACCCCAATATCAGAGAAAACATTAACTTCATTGTTTGCCCTAACCCCAGTGTCCCAGTTTGGATTATAAACCCAGTGTTTTAGTTTGCATTAATCCCAGTATGCTAGTTTGCATTAACACCAGTGTTCACGTTTCTACTATAAACCCAATGTCACAGTTTGCATTCCCCCCAGTGTCACAGTTTGGATGAGCCCTGCGCTGCCAGTTTGCACTAACTCTGATGCTCCGCTCTCCCTCTCTCTCTCTGCCCAGGCTGTACTCACGTCCTCTGCGCCGGTTTCCTCCGCTTCCTACCCGGGTACATGTCGGTGTGTAACGGCCCCGCGGAGCCTCCCTCACTCTCACTGCCGCATCAATGTAACTCGAAGGCGGACACTATCCCCTAACCCTCCCGGGGCTGCAATCGCGCAGAAACGGTTCCAACTGTGCGGGCTCCGATCTGAAGATCGGGGGCGCGGCTCGTGTGCGCGTCTGTCACTGCACGGGAGTGCGCGCCCCCGATATCTCAGCCGGTCCTGTATCTCTCTCTCTCTCTCTTTCCGTCCTCCTGTATCATTCCCTGACCCCTTCACCAGGATCTCTCTGACCCACTGTGTTGTTCCCTATGAAACTTTCATCTCCCTGTTTTCCTTCCCCCTGTTATTGGGGAAAGCTGCTCTGCATAAGATACGGTGTAAAATACTGTCTGTAAGGTTCTCTGTGCAAGATGTTCTCCTGTAAGATATGCAAGGTGTTTCCTGAGCAAGGTGTTTTCTGTTGAAGTTGGATATTCTCTATCTGCAGTGATTGGAACCAGGGCCAGTGGATCTCATTGACTATGAGATCCCTGATTGGAGTTATTAACCCAGGCCAATGAGGGAGCCCTGGCTGACAGATATAAACAGGTGATTCAGACAGTCTCCTCACTCTTAGGGACTGGCTCTGAGCTGGCAGGTCTAAGCCCATGCATAGTGCAGAACCAAATAAAGGGTGACTTGGTGATGGGGTACTGGCTTCTGTGCAGTTAATTCATCTGTGCAAGGTTTTTTTTCTGTTTAAGCTGTTCTCTGTGTAAGGTATTCTCTGTTTCCACTGTTCTCTGTTTAAGCTGTTCTCTGTGTAAGGTATTATCTGTTTCCACTGTTCTCTGTTTAAGCTATTCTCTGTGCAGGGTTTTTCCTGTGTAAAGTGTTCTCTGTGCAGGGTTTTTCCTGTGTAAAGTGTTCTCTGTGCAGGATGTTTCCTGTGTAAAGTGTTCTCTGTGCAGGATGTTTCCTGTGTAAAGTGCTCTCGATTCAGACTGTGCTTTATGTTGGATGTTTTCCATGCAAGGTGAAGTCTGTGCAAAGTTATCGCTGTGCGAGCTGTTTCCTGTGCAAGGTATCTTTTGTGGAAAGTGTTCTCTCTCTAAGGTGCTCTTTGTGCAAAGTGCTCCAGTCTACAGGTAAGGAGCTACGTACAATGGTCTGTGTGATGGATATGTTTTCCCATTTGCTATGGTGCTTCCATAACCCCAGCTTCTATTTCTGCCTAGTTTCACCAGGTTTGGCCTCAGCAAAATTGTCAAGAGTTCTGACAATCAAAAGTCCACTGCCATCTGGTTTATGGGCTATTTACATTTTAAGTTCCATTCATGACCAGCCACTTCTCTGTAGTTACAGGCAAATGGCAGTGGGAGCACAGCAGATCGATCCTGGGGCTGAACAGTGGCACAAGGTATCGGATAAATGCCTGAGGACTGGGGTCAGTCGGAGCGGGACTGGGGTCAGTCGGAGCGGGACT